TAAAATGGTGTGCTTACGATTTCTATGCTCCTCCACAGAATTAGCCATCTCTCCCCAAAGCGTTTCTCTAGTCTAGTGCTTACAGGGCCTTAAATGAGGGGGTTTATGGGCTGAATAAGAGAATGCTGGGATGGGGCAGTGGGAAAGAAGAGAATCCCCGACTTCTTAGAAGTTTTCCATGGAAGAATTAGAAACACAGTTCTACTTCAGATTTTTCAAGTCTCTTTGAATGTAATTCATCTTCTTCTTTACAGTTTCTGTTTCTTCCTCATTAGATAACCAGCTGTGTCTTCCTGATTCACAGGAAGCTGGCCTATGAAGCATCACCTGGTTGGGGTGGGGGTGGGCTGAGTCATCTAAATTGTATTGACATGTGAGAAATCAACTTGTTTTGTGATAGGGACTTTCAATCTAGGAAAATGCAGGGATCAAACCAACCTTTCAAAAATGCCAAGGTCAAAGCCCTTCCTCCAGCCTACATCTCCCAGTCTAAGCTGTCATGAGGCATTGCCTCATGGCCACAATAACCGGAAGGGTTGAGAGTGGGAGATGGGAAAGGTATGCATCAGGTTTTCTAAATTAGAGTCCTTAAGTGTCTCAGAAGACCTTACTGAAAGCTTATAATGTCAGGCTTCAGAGAATAATATAGGGGCTCTCCCTCCCAGAAGCATGCCCACGCCTTTCCTTTCTCTCTTCCTTTACCCCCAGGCATGTTACTATTATCTTCCTCACTCACAAGCTCCAAGGGCCCTTCCTTTATCTCTAACTTGTTTCCTAAAGCCATTTCTTCTACAAATTACTTCTTCTTCCTCTGTGATTTTATAAATAAACTAGAGGCCCGGTGCACAAAAATTTGTGCACTGGGGGGGGGGGGGTCTCTCAGCCAGCCTGTGCCCTCTCGCAGTCTGGGACCACTCGGGAGATAATGACCTGCTGGCTTAGGCCTGCTCCCGGGTGGCAGAGGGCAGGCCCAATCCCTAGGTGCAGCCCCTGGTCGGGCTCAGAACAGGGCCGATTGGGGAGTTGGGGCGCCGCCCCCTGTCATGCACAGAGCAGGGCGGATCGGGAAGTTGCGATGCCACCCCTAGTCACACTCAGGGTAGGGCCGATTGGGAGGCTGTGGCCCCGCCCCCTGCCACACACAGAGCCGCAGGGCGATCAGGGGGTTTGGTCGCTGCCCCCTGTCACGCTGATCCCGGTGCTGGGAGGCATATTACCCTTTTACTATATAGGATAGAAGCCTGGTGCATGGGTGGGGGCCGGCTGGTTTGCCCTGAAGGGTGTCCTGGATCAGGGTAGGGGTCCCGCTTGGGTACCTGGCCAGCCTGGGTGAGAGGATGATGGCTGTTTGCAGCTGGTCACACCCCCTTCAGGGTGGGAGTCCCCACTGGGGTGCCTGGCCAGCCTGGGTGAGGGGCTGAGGGCCGTTTTCAGGCTGGCGGGTGACTGAAGCTCCCAACCTGTCCTTTTTTCCTTTTTGTTTTATTCTGGGCCAGCTTTAGCTCTGAGGCTCAGCTCCAGCTATGAGACCTCTGCTGCTGAAAGCAGGTTTCTGGCCTTTGTTTACCTTCTGTATTTGAAACAATGTTGTGGTCCTGCTGGCTGAAGCCCAGGGTTTTGTTTAGCTTCTATATTTGTTACAATGTTGCTTAGAGTGCAGCTGAGAGGCCGGCAAGGCAGGCGGGGAAGCTTGGCTTCCTCCGTCACTGAAGCAAGCAAGCCTCCCTGTTCGCATCAGCTGCCTGGCTGCCGGCCGCCATCTTGGTTGGCAGTTAATTTGCATATCTCCCTGATTAGCCAATGGGAAGGGTAGCGGCCGTACGGCTAATTACCATGTTTCTCTTTTATTAGATAGGACTAGAGGACCGGTGCACATGCACCCTTGGGGTCTCTCGGCCTGGCCTGTGGGGATCAGGCTGAAACCGGCTCTCCGACATCCCCCCCCCAGGGGTCCTGGATTGTGAGAGGGCAGTTCTTGGGTGACCCACCCCAGAATTGGGCTCCCTCCTCTCTGGTTTTGGGGTGTGTCACCTGAGAACCACAGCTGCCAAGTCAGTACACCTTGGCAGCTCCTGTGTTGAGCATCTGCCCCCTGGTGGTCATTGTACATCATAGCTAGTGGTTGGACAGTCTGATGGTTGCTTAGGCTTTTATATATATAGATGTTCTCTTATAGTTTGGGAATAAAAACACATGAATTGGTATAGAACATTCTGATGACTGCACTCATGCAGGTGCCACTGCGATATTCACTGTCCTGCATGACCAGCTCAGTCTGCATGAGAACTCCCATGGTTCCCACCTTCATCTTCCCACATCAGCTCCTTAGTCTAGGTGGGGAGGAGACATTCCTCACTCCTGACAATTTTCCTTCCTAGATGCACCTCACAATTAGGTTCACTTATAGACACCTTTCCCCTGAGTCAATGAATATAAAGAACTATTGGATAAGTAACAATGACTTTTTTAATTGCTTACACTGCACCTAGAATGTGGCTTAAATTAAATGTTATACACATGCATGCACATACATACATCCATTCCAAAAATATTTATTGAACAAGACACTGGAACCACCAAAAAATGATTCATGCCCTTGAAAATTCTATTATAAGGAAGGCTCATGAAGGGATCAAATTCAGGGAGTCACATCATTATTCTTAAAATCCTGTAACATACTACATTGTACATGAAAAGTGCTGAAAGAGATAGAGACAGGGAAGAGATGAGAATGGTGGGCCACGTAGAGATGAATTTTTAGCTGAATCTTACAAAATGTCAGGCACAGAAAGAAAAAGAGCGCATTCCAAACATAAGCCATGCCATGTACAAAATCAGTCAAGAAAGAATATACTGTATTCGAGGAACTACAGCAAAAGCTTCATAGCTGATGAATAGCGTGTGGGAAAGGAGAGCACCAGGAAACAGGCAAGGCCAGACTGAAGTGATTTGAGTGCCATACTCTAGAGTTCGACTGTATCCTGTGGACACCAGGGACCAATAAAAGTTATTAAGCTCAAGAAATAAATGGTTAGATTTATGTTTTAGAAAGGTAACTCTGTGGCCAGCAGAGAGGATGGATTTCAGAGTAAGATCACAGCATTATTTCTCTCAGCAAAATTGTATGAGAATTTTTTGGGACAAGGGATGTTAAATAAATATTTCTGGGGTTCACCCTTTAACTACTGAATGAAAATCTCTGGGCTCCAGGCCTGGGAGCCTGCATATATAACATCTCTAATATCACGGGCCCTACAAGTCTGAGCCATAGAGTCACAGAGGCCACTTAGAAAGGTTTCACAATTGTCCGATTCAAAGATGAAATTAGGGAGATCTGTACAGGCTGCCCTTCCAGGCTAGCTAATAATTTTTTTAAGGCAATTATATAATTAAGTGCTAAACATTTGTTGCAGACTGCTATGTTATCTTGGCCAAGTCATTTGCTACCTTGACACCAGGCATTTATATGACAAAGCACGATATGCAAATTGAGTTGGAGTGTCACAAATTCCCAAGAGATAAAGTATTTATCACTTTCAACTTAGGGGTTGCAGGAAGATTAGATTAAGCCATTCTTATTTGTTTGCTTGCTTATTTACTGTCTCCTCTCACTCTCCTGTAATTCCCAGGTGAGTAGAAACCTTGTTGACACTGATGGGTCTCTGGTGCAAAGGTGCCAACCCGAAGAAAAAGTAAAAACATTCTGAAAAAAGACAAAAAGAAGGCGTAGGAAACGCTGCAACGTCTGGTGAAAGCAAGCACATTGGACAGGGAGTTAGGAGCTTCCGTCTTTTTCCATGTAGTGCTTACTATTCATTCAACACCTTCACGGTGCTGGATGCTGAAGATTTTACCCCGAAGGCATTGCCAATGTCCATACCAGGATTTGATTCCGGTACTCAGGATTAAGGAGCCCTGACAAGTTTACATTGTGGATGAAAAAAGGGGTGCTGTGATAGATCATAAGTTCCTAACTGGGTCATGGTGGGTGGTCAAGACCCAGGCATATAACTTTTTAGTAAAAGGTTTATCTTGGCTTACCTCTGCCCATCGTTTCTGTGGATTTAGGTTAACAAACCTTTGAAATGCTTATTTTCAGACCCCTCCTTCAAGACACAACTTCCCTGGAGAGAGCATATAATCTTAACTATCTTCTAATCCACCACCCACCTTGCTTTCTCCCACCTCCATGTAACCTCCCTTATGTCACCTCAACTTCAAATGCACAAAAGAAACTGTAAAACTGTTACTCTCTGCAGCAGTTTAGATCTGGCTTCCTGGCAATTGTCGTCAGTTTAGGCTCAAATACACTCACATGAACATTCCCTACAGGTTTGTACATTTCTTACGTGGACAACATTAAGCTTAAACGTCAAGCCTGAATTCCTTAGTAAACAACATTAGTGGACAACATTAAGCTTAAACGTCAAGCCTGAATTCCTTAGTAAAATGCGGGACTGGCCAAAAATGAGATGATTCCAGATTTCACTTTGTCATTCATCTTCTTTACCTTCTGGCTTCAGTTCCCCCCTTTACCGTGAACAAAGGGACGTGCTAGGCGCCAAATCCTTGCCCTCGGAGCAGAAATGTAACCGCTCCTCCAAGAACTGGTTCCTCAAAGAGCGATAGAAACCGTAATCGATCCGGAGGCGGAAAACAATGTGGCACTAACTGTTCGGTGTCTCCCCGGCCCCCGGCGGGGGAGGCTGGTCCCGCCAGCTCCGGGCCAACTCGCGGCGGCGCGCGCTCCTCTTTCCACTTAAGTTTTCCCAGGGCCGGGAAGGTGGGGGTGGGGGTGGGGGTGGGGGTGGGGGTGGGGGTGGCCCCCCCCCCCGCTCCGCCCTGGGAGGGGGGCGGGCCTGCAAAGAATACCCGAGGCCCCAGAGGAAGACTCCCATTGGCCCGGAGGGCGGGTGACGGACGGGGAGGGGGCGGGGCGGGGCTTCCCGGGGTATATATGGGAGGGGGGTGTGCACAACCTGTGTCAATTTCGGAGCCTCTGGCCGCTCTTGTCCTCCGCGTGGTGCGACCTGAGCCGTCTCCCTTAAGGCTTTCCCCGCAGCTGGCCGAGAGCCTCTGCCGCCTGGGTACCCCCCTCCTGCTCGGTGGTGCCCCACATCTCCCCCACCCCCGGGGCCCTTCCTGCATTTCCTCGGCGGTGTGTTGATTCGGGGGACTTTCTGTTTGTTTTCTCCTCTTTCCTCTTTGTTGCTCTAAAACCGGCCTCTCCGAAGCCCCTCACTCCGAAGGGAGCTCGACTTCTGGAGAAAGGCGGCCGCGGCGGACTCACCGTCCCCACCTGCGGACCGGCGAGGGCCAGCGAGCCGGTGCGCCCTCCCGCCTGCCTCCCCCGCCGCCTGCGTCCGTCCGTCCGCCTGGGAAGCCCGCCGCGCGTTCATTGATGCACCCATTCCAGTGGTGTAACGGTGAGTCCGGGGGCGAGGAGGGGGCGCGGGGCTCGCCGGGGACGGGGAGGGGGCGCCAGACTTAAGATCTGAGGCTCGCTCTGTCTTTCGAGCCAAGTTTCTCTTGAAATGGGGCGGGCGAGAAGGCGTCCTGGAGCCCAACTCGGCTCTGCACAGCGCGGAAATGGAAAAACAACCAAACAAACCAAAGCAAAGCCCCGACCTCGCGGGCGGGCGGGGAAGGGTCTCCGAAGGGGCGGCGGCGGCGGGGGCGTGGGAGCCGAGGGGTTCGCGGCCTTTGTGTGGCGGCTTCGCTCTCCTACCCCTTCCCCTGCCTTTGTGCGCTCCCAGTCTGTTCTTTGTTGTGATTGTCGGAGGAGCCTGAGATCCGCGCTCGGGCT